CGCTTTGGCCTGGACTTTAACTTTGACCTTCTTGCTCGTTTGCTTTTGCTCTTTTCCCTCTTTGCTATCGTGTCTTCACGTTTACTCCGCAATGCTCTAACATCCTACAACCTCCCAACCAACAACCTCGATGCCGATCTAAATCGTGAAATTTCTTCGCCATGTTCGCCTCGCTGCTTCGTCCAAAGCGCCAGCGCGGGCAGATTGAGCAGTCCCCATTCTCGACCCCCTCCCCGTGGTTTCGCGCCGCGCACAACAACTCGCGACGCGTCCCCCGAGCCGACGAAAGCAGCGATCATGCGCCAGAGCTTCATGAGATCGATGAAGAGGATATAGACCAGGACTGGGAGGAAGAGGAAGAGGATGGACCACTCGAGTCTACACCTCTACTGCCTATGTTCTCTGCGTCGCATTTGGGTACGAAGAGATCCTTGGGGTGCGTCTTATACAGTAGACAATTGACCAACATGATTAGATGCGCTGCCTGTTTACAATATCACCCACGCCATTCGTCCCTTGATCGCCTCTCGCTGCGAAACCACCCTAACATGGGACCAATTACGCTCGCCGCAGGTCTCCCAGTTCCTGATCAAGCCGATCCTGCAAAAGATCATGTCGGCCCACTTTTCGCGCGCGACTCTCTATGCATTGATGGCCAATTGTCTGCAATTTGAGAGAGAAATACACCTAAGTCCGGGGAATAGCGGGGCAAATCAAACACGGGCAATGGTCAGTGAGCTGTTGGCGATAAAACTATTGCGGGAATACTCGACCCGAGAATTGATCGATGCACTGTCCTACGAGTTCTACCCACTCCAGGGTCAGGATCAATCCACGTTGTTAGTCAATGCCCCCCAGCGGAAACGGGTGGTAGTTGCCCGTGTCTCATGCTTGGAGGTCGCTATCCGCGCCCAGGCCAAGCGGTTCTTGGCCCATCCTGTCGTGGTGCAACAATTGGAGGCTATCTGGGCGGGAACTATTGTCTTCCACTCCGCCGCCGACAATCTCCATCGTTCCATGAACCTGCACCAAGGTGAAAACCTGGATTACGGGGCAACAATGGACCCCAATGGGGATATTGCAACCGAGTCCAGCAATAAGACACTTCGGCGATCAGTGACAATCTACAACCCCCGGGATGCATCTTTGTTTAAGTTATCGCGGTTGAGAGTGCCGCGCTATCGACAGTTTCTTTCCACGATATCCTTTGCAGTACTCCTGGGGCTCTTCCTAGCTGTTCTGGAACAACGAAGCCGCAGGATCACATCTCTCGAGATTGTATTCTGGTTTTGGAGTGCTGGATTCATGCTTGATGAGGTTGTTGGGTTCAATGAGCAAGGCTTCAGTCTTTACCTGATGAGCTTTTGGAATCTGTTCGACGTCGGAATTCTGCTATTGCTCTTCGCATATTATTGCTTGAGGATATACGGTACATTCCTGACCTACCCTAGAAGTCAATTCATTGCCGATCAAGCCGTAAGTCTTTCTATCTTTACGAGGGTTCTTTTATCCGCAGTATACGCTAATTCATTTCAGTTCGATGTTCTTACGGCTACAGCTCCCTTGCTATTTCCGAGGTTGTTTTCCATATTGGATCATTATCGCTACTTTTCCCAACTCCTCATTGCTTTCCGAATAATGGCATCAGATCTGATTGCTGTCTTCGTACTCATTGTCATTTCCTGCTCTGGCTTCTTTGTCTCTTTCTTATACTTTGGAGACAACAAGTCCCCCAAAGTGGTGGCTTATGGTTTGTTCCAGATGCTGATGGGATTTACGCCAACCGCATGGGCAATGTGGGATGAATACAACTTTCTAGGAAGGACAATCTTGACGGTCTTCCTATTCATCTGTCATTTTGTCGTCGTCACTATCTTGATCACGGTTCTGACCAATTCCTTCATGAGAATTGTCCAAAATGCAAATCAAGAACATCAGTTCTTGTTCGCTGTCAATACCATCTCGATGGTCAAGTCCGATGCCTTATTCTCCTACGTTGCACCGACAAACGTCCTTGCCTGGCTAGTGACACCATTCCGATATCTGATGCCGTTCCGGGAATTCATTCGGCTCAATCGGACCATTATCAAGATAACTCACTTACCCATACTCTTCACAATTTGCCTCTATGAGAAGACAATCCTCTGTTCTCGAGTCGTTCAGCCGATGGACCTAATTGAACCTACCTCGCAAAATCAAACTCCAGCTCATGCGCAGAAATGGCGGCCCAGTCGATTCCGTGGTTTCAGCACCAGTGCATCGGTTTTTAGACGAGAGCCCTCTGTGGCAACATACCAGAAGGATCGAGCATTGGAGGAAGTATTTCGACGCCCATACAGCGATGATCGAATCCGAGGGTCCCCGAGCACTGTGCATGAACGCCAGACCAATAACGTCATCAAAGACTGGATGCAGGAGATTGGCTCTGGACCAGCTAATGGACCGGATGATGGGGATTCGCTGGTTGTGGACCATCGTGGGATGCGACAACGACACAGATTTCCATTCCGGGCTAGATTGGCCAACCGACCTCGAAATTTCACCGAAACGACCCGATCAGTTGCTTCGAATCCCGAGGACCGAACAAGCGTTGCAAGCCCAGTCATCCGGCCTCGGCGCACAAGACCTTCTGTCTCGCCCAGTCAGAAACGACATCTCTCGCATCATACAGACATGGAGGGCGATGATGAACTTACCAGTAACGATGGTGACTCAAACGATGACAAGCACATGGCCCCAGGCTCCACGGGTGAGACAGCCGACTCGGTTAGAGGTGCAGAGAAGCCGTCGCCCAAGTTCTACAGCTCTCGGCCATCCACGGCAAGAATTATCTCGGGTCGCAACAGCCCTACGCGTCGTCTCAGACATACGCGGAATGCTTCTGGGGTCACCATGTTGTACAATCCTGTTGGATCTCCAAATGAAGAGACGGAAGGCCGGGTCACGCCTACACGGCCAGATATCGATTCTTCCGACGAGGAATCACCCCTTGTCGCCTCTACCTCAGTAGACCAGGGTACCATGAAGCGTCACATTCTAGACGTACCTCGTCCTCGGAATCCTACGATTGGACTAAATCATATGTCCGTTCCCGAGATGGACAGCATCTACATATCTGATCGGCCCACAGGTACCCGGCCTCGATCATCCCTTCTCTTCGATCTGGGATCTGACCTAGGCGACAACAAGGCCGTGGCGGGTGGCTTTTCCGGTGCGCTTCCATCTAGCTTCCAGACCCAACTAGGCTTTGCCCCACCGGTTATTCGTCGTGAAGCCCCAACCCAAACCCAAGACATGCTCAGCAAGTTAGTTCTGGCTCGCATGAACAACATTGAAGAAGGATTCCGCGAGGTGATCAAAGAATTCAAAGATCTTCGCCGCAACGAGTCCAGTCGCAGTCCAAGCCAACCCGATGAGTCCCGGGGGGCTACACGTGAGAAAAAGAAGCGCGACAAGAAAGACTCAAAGAAGAAGAGTATAAATTCGCCCGGAAGCCGGGCTGGTAGTGGTGGAAGCCCATTCAAAGGAAATGGACCCGGTGATGATACCATGCCGTCAACCTAACTGTTCCATACATTCTGTCTTTTGGTGGTAACACCGTGTAAAAATTCCTGTAAATTGATGGGGTGGTCCTTTGCTTTGCGGATATCTGATGTTGATCTGGCGCGTTGGTTTTTGTTTTGCGGATACCAGATACCATCTCACTCGGGGTGGTTCAACGTTCATCAGTCACCACATAAGTACATGAAATCTTCATATTCCTAACTCTATCCAATTCAGTGCTCTATTTCCTAGTATAGTCCATGCTCTCAGACGGCACTGTCTCTAATTTCCTCTGGGCACTCGATAACTATCGCTTTCCCGGCGCTCGCGCAGTGTGATCCCCTTGATCTGTTTGACGAGAGTTGCCCTGGAACGCCGCTACCTCTTCCTTCGTATTGAGCGTGCGTGGCCGCGGAGCTAGGACACGGAACACCAGAAATGCACCGCTGATAACCCCCAAGGCGCTCAGCACGGCGGTGGTGCGAGTCCTTAGTTTACTTTCGTGTCAGTACAGACGGAAATCTAGACATGAGACAGATACTGACTTCAATGGTCTCCGACCTTGATAAACGGCGTCTGCCATGGTAGCCATGATGGGGTTGTAGATGAGTTGTGGAAGGGTTTGATAGCGGAAGTCGCTTCGAAAATATTCGATTGCTCAGAAGTAAAATGAAATTTCCTGGATATCTATAGCAAAAAAAGAATGACATGAACATGAGCGCATGGTGATTAATGGTATCCGCCACTTCTCGCAAGTCTTTCCGAGGTCACCTTTGACAGCTCTCTCTTCTCCCTCGATATGTGGACACCTACATTTGCTAGGCCTAGTGTACTGGAAATAGTATACCTGGGCATGGAACATGACCACACAAGGTTTAGAGTGCGGCTGAAGCCAGGAACTGACTCAATAACATCCATGGGGATACCAAGGCTGACTACTCCGTATAATACAATACTTAGAAATCATATTTCCGAATATTTACTATATACATACATAATGTTTATACGTCATTTCTGGCAGTTCTTTCGGGGTTAGTACGCTTGGTACGGCTAATACTGTAGTGTCACGAGTAGAACAATATTAGAACCGTTATACCCTTTCTCACTATATTCTATATTCTGCGTCTAGCACCATAAGGGAGAAATATCTAAAATACATATAACTATCTTAATACGGAAGACATCTTAAAAAAAGGAATATATGAAAGAGATATGACAAGGCCATGTTTGTTGTACACTTGGACACGTACTGTATCTCGTGTTAGGTAGCAGAGCCTCATTCCCCATTTCCCCATTTCCCCACTATCTCCCATTTCAATATTTCTTCTTCTACTCCCCTATGAACTATCACTGTAATTTACTGCTCTTGACTTAACTTCAACTTACTATCTACATATGTAGTCATCTCCATCTTCATCTCACTCCCTTCATGCTGACCACTTGAAGCTCTGTCCAAAATGGAGCTACCTGTTCGCCCTGCAGACTGCACCCCTCGGGGAGAAATCGAAGAGCCTCTACTCTCACAGCAGCAACGAAAAAACCAGCAACAGGAACCAAATAGTGATATTACGAGCGAATCTGATACTATCTCAGCGCTTGCAAACACCCCCACAGCGCTCCCAACAAGTCCCCCGGATTCTCATGAATCACCTTCCAACTTTACAGCAATGCCATTTTTACTTCTTCTTCATGGTGCAGATACTCTGGTGTTCATTGACCCTTCTCCGGAGACAATCCGATCCAAGTTGCCTCTTTCCATACAGACAGTTCCGCATCACATCCATAGCGAGAAATTATTGGCTACAGGCTCGGCCTACTTCAAACGGCTATTCAATCCGCAAATGCAAACTCGGGTCCGAAAGCGACGCGGCTTAACTAGCAAACTTCCAGATGGAATTCAATACGTCTTGGACCTCACACCCCCAACCCTGGACGAAGATGCAGTCATCTTCCTAACCGAGCTTTCCTGTCCTATGAGTATCAGGACGTGGGCCTCAAAACAGGATATGTGGAGCCTGCCATGGCCCTGTGTTGGAGGACAAGATGAATTGGAGCCCTTCGAGCAGCTCACACAATTCCCTACAACATCGCCCGAGCCCGGGACCGATACCCATGTCGAACGGCTACTTGAGAATTTGAGAAATGATGGAGCCTCCTTCGAACTGCAGGACCAATTTCCGGAGTCACAGCCTGAAACAGTAGAGCAGAAAGGCTTGCCGGTGGAATACTCAGCTTCGCGTCATCGTGAAGGCATTGAGCACGTTCTCCACGTTCTGGAAGGACTAAATCCTAGAATAGACACTCCTTGCAAGATGTGGACCTTTTTTGCGCTCGCCAAAATATTTGACGTGGCTACGGTCCCGGCCATCTCTGACCACATCGTCTCGTGGTTCTACGAGCTCAACAACAGTCGCTTCATTGAACTTCATCCCGATGTAACATATCGAGTGGCATGCGGTATCAAATCTCCCTACCTCTGCCGAGATGCTTTTGTTGAAATGGTTGGGGATGAAGCCCTGCTGTACCTGATTCGGGCCACACCCTTCAAACCAATTGGGTCCATGGAAAGCTTGGTGCAGAGCCGGATTTCCGATGTTCTAGACGACACCGAGATGCAACGTATCGAGTATGCCAGCAAGAGTTTTGGCGACTACGTTATTAGGTGCTTCTTACAGTTGGCCGGGAGTGAAATGCCATGGTTGGCACACATTGCCGAGTTCCAGAAGCTTACCCGGCATCTTCAGCTCTATCCTGCAGATCAAGAAATCGTACATCAACTAGTCGTGACGGTAAAAGAATTCATTCGTGACCGCATCTACGGGGCTTTAATCATGGAAAGAGACACAAACCGCTCATTCCACGTGGCTCCAAACTTGGTGAGAACCGAAAACCCATACCACCGATGGGGCATAGACAAGGGATTTGTCCTCCAGCGATTAATCGGGAAAAGCTTCTGGGGTGCGCTGGAGTCGCTGGATCTCTGTCAAGATGCATTCCTTCGTTCTGAGTCTCATTCATCAATAGCGGAGATCGGCAATGGCTTACTGGCCTTTGGTGGTGAAACCGCAGCAAGGATTCGCCATGTGGTGCCTGGTGAAGTTCGCCAGTTGAGCCATGCGTTCAACCAAGCGGTTAGAACTAGGGCTCAGGCTCGCCAGGAGGAAGAGGCTCTGGCTGCGCGGCATGCGGGTGGACATTTTGCCCTGGAGCTGACTATCAATGTCTGGAATTCACAAGCCGGCAACGAGGTTAACAGCACCTCCAACAACGGCCCTTTCCTCAATCCCATTCCTGCTCCCACCCCTAACCCGTGTCCTCCACCTGCATCCCCAATGCCACCAAAGACAGACATCTCAGCAGAATTGTTCCGCGAAAAAAGATTTAAAGATCAGGTTCGCTCTTTCCTAAGGAAATACGCACTAGAGATGTTACAGCAACCTGGCCCACCCACCATGCGACAAGAACTCACGGATACCCTAACCTGCCTCACATACAATGAATTCCAATACCTACCTCTATGGGCGGGCGGTAATGACGATGAGACGGGCGGTGTTTTCACCGACTTTATCATTCCCGCCATGGACGGCGGTGGATTCTCAGCTCCAGGGCCTGCCGTGCACACTGGCAGTGTCGCCTCAAACGATGATTCTCTCAGCAAGATCGAGCATAGTGACGCTCAGAGCACGATCTATGGCGCATCTCACAACGCCACTTACAGTCAGGCTTCGGATATCATTTCCGTGGACTCTACCGATTATTCACAGTTTAGGCTCAAACATGAGAATCATGAAAGTCATGATGAAGTCCAGTCGGAAACTTACATGGAGGTAACCGAGGATGAGGATGAGATATCATCACTGGATCTTGGCCTGACTACCGATGACGGTGAATACGAAACACGGAGCGATGGCACCATTACTGTGGATGATGGATCGCCTGAGCCTTCTTTTGCTGGTATCTCCGAGGATATCGAAATGGACAAGGTGGAAGATGGAGGTACTGATATTGAGTTCGAATTCGTCAATGTGCAAAACTACTTTTAAATACCCCGATAGTTCTCTTTTCGTTCTTTCTTCTTTCTTTACTTTCTTTTTTTTTTCTTCTTTTTATTTTCGATTGGAGTCAGGGAAGCAGAATGTGGGCACAAAAAAGAGCATCGTTCAAGATGGAATCTAAGTTACTTCTCTCTATTGCATCTCCAAGAACTGCCCGGGTCCAAAAACTATGTACGCAGGTGCTATGTTGTAGACACCTTTATAGTAAATTTACCTACAGGGATTTTGTTATCTTTCCGTCGCCTTCATGCTTTCGGTCTCCAATTGGTCCTCCAACGAGTCGGCGCGAATTAAGCCCTCTGATCCACCTCTATATGACGCTCTCCTCAAATGCTCCAGCGCTTCGAAGGTTCAGGATGATCCTTCCCACATATTATTTCTCGGCGCGTGTGCACCGTCTCCGCCAACTATTTCACAGTATCCAGCTTGTTTTGCGATTGGCATATGAAGCCGAGATTGACTATAGCGGAGATGGTCTATGGGTGGTCTCTGCCAAGAGTCTCTTCTATTGAACGTAAAAACCGCGATATTGCTCATATTCGGAGGGATTGTCCTCGCCAAGCTTCGTAAATTTGATCGCCAGCACTTGCTCTAAGCTTCGAGTGCTGGTACGACTGCTTTCTATGTTTCCTGAATCGAGACCGCCTCTTCCATCATCTTCGCCGTCAAGCAAGTATCGTTCAATGATGCCCCTCTCTCCGCAGTTCCTGGACAAGCCTGTTAGGCATCCTGGAGGCTCTGTCCAATACTCAATTCGGGCCCAACCCGTGATTAGTAGGCCATGGTCCGAGCCGGTTGAATGATCTCAGACAATCATTTGTGTTTTGAAGGGCCCCATACCAATCATGATCAGAGCCAAACCGACTACTAAGAGCCCTGGCGCTGCTTTTGGTCCGATCTGGACTCCCGACTCATCGATCCAGGGGTTCTCGCCTTTAGGACACCGTACAGTTCCCGAACTAGATGGACGAGAGAGAAGTGGAGGGCGCTCTTTGCAGCTGGGCAGTGGCCCGGTAAGTGCTTTGAATTTTTAAAATCACATTGATCAAGGGGATTTGAAAGCAAAATCAACGGAGAACTCAGTCGCCGCTCTTGAACTCCTTACTTAGTTGTCTATATTGAGCAGATCGATGATAGACAAATCCACCTTGTAGGTTACGTTGCATAATATATCCAGTCGCCCGTTCTTCATCCTCTATAGCTTTCCATTTCGTCTAGTCCGTTTTATCTCGATATTCTTTACGAAAATAGCATAACGTAAAATCGATTATAAAAACCTCAAAGCCGTTATCTATATTCCTATATAGAATGTAATTCCTCGGTTTAATATCCTTATTAAGTATTCCTCGATCACCGATAAGATAAATAATTCGAATAGCGTCTTTATAGATACTCTACTAGCACTCTATTAGGGCGTGTATAGTGGTATCGCTTAAGGAAACCCCTACGATGTACTGCAAAAGGATACCAGGAATATCCACATATTGACTGACGGATATTGTCTGCGCACAGGTAAAATTAGGCACTATGACGTATGCAAACAGTTGGAGTATATCGTTCCCCTGTAAATCCTTTAGGGGGTTATACACTTCAACTTCCGTTTCGTAGGGGCCCAGCATATAGTGATGAAGAAAGGTTTCAACTTGCGAACTATTCCAATTGTTCCCTTCCTGACTTGCTAGTTGGCTGTTGGCCTCGAGATCAGTGATTAATTTTGACGCACCACCATCGAGAATGAACTGATGATATTCCTTTTCGATATTCGAGGTCCAGGGAATGATTTCTCGCTCTTCTCTGACTTGTGTAGCAAAATGTCGATTAAAAAGGTCCAATATCACATCACCTTCTAAAGCCAAAGAAGAAGATGCTAGTCGTACAACCATTGTAGACGAAAGGGTGAATAGTTCAAAGACCTTGATGATTCTGGCGTCTGTTGTTTGCCCATCATATGGTGCCTTTAGCTGTAATTTGATTATATCTCCGACGACATAAGGAGAACTATTTAATTAATTAGCCTCTCATGACGTCTGTAGCGATGGTATATACTTGGTTCCTTCGTGGTCCATTTGTGATTGGGAGTTGGTGCCTGCGAAAACAGCTGGGTAAGCCTTGTGAATTGATGCTTTATAGAAGCGTCGAGTGCTTATAGCGCGCAGAGTCCTTTAAAGTAGGTAGTCCGCAATGCATCGTGACTTACCAGGCGGCAGCAAGTGTTTCAGATAGGACTGTAACCGGCCACCAGCACCAGGGCGTTGAGGTTGGCTGACTCAGCGGCTTTCCGCGACATAGTCCACGGGTGCAAGTTACTCCAGATCTCAAGAACCTTCAAACTACTTAGCTCCTATATCTTACTATTACACAGGCTTTTGAAAACTGCAGGCTCTTCTGTGGCTTTGACTGTCACTCCTCTTTTTTCGCTACGCTCCCTCTATATTCGAGATCACGGCCACTGACATCATATCACTATGGCTTCATCCTCCAAAACGAGCTCTTTGCTCTAGTAAGTCTTGCTGTCTGGCATTTGAGCGATCAAAGAAACTATTCTCAGACTGACAATGTAAACGACTTCAGCTCTTGCATCGCCCATCGCACGACTATTCTGGCCGAACATTCCTCGCCAGGCACTTCATCGACCGCTGCCTCGTCACTAGCCTCCATCATCCTCCCAAAGATTACACACGACAAGCCACAAAAGCTCACCTTCACCCATGAACGGCTTTTCGTCCATTACATTGCCGACTCGCCAACAGGCAACCAATCCGATGATGGCAACATCGCAGAGCCCAACTCACACGCTCCCCTGAGCTTTGTGGTAGTTGCATCGGCAGAGCAAGGCCGCCGCATCCCATTCGCCTACCTACTAGAAATGAAGCGCAAGTTCTTGGCCACCTACGAACCATCCACGACCGAGTTCGCCTCACTGCCCGCCTACGGCTGCGCTGCCTTCAACAACGAGCTGCGCTCTCTCCTACAAGCCTACAACACCGCCCCGCCAGCAGACTCTCTCGCATCAGCCCGGCGCGAGATTGATAGCGTCCGAGATATAATGACCGAGAATATTGAGAGGGTCCTGGAGCGCGGCGAGCGCATCGATCTGCTGGTTGACAAGACGGATCGGCTTGGCGGGAGTGCGCATGATTTCCGGATCCGTAGCCGGGGACTGAGGAGGCGGATGTGGTGGAAGAATACTAAGCTGATGATTATGATGGTGGTCGTCGTTATCTTCTTGCTATATCTGTTCATTGGTATGGGATGTGGACTTCCTGCATGGGGGAAGTGTGTTGGACGCTAGCACAGTTTCTGGTGGCTAGTCGAACATTTCAGCGAGCGTGCTTTATTTTTCAAATATCCAGGTTCTGGGGTCGCTTCGGTTTCCGACTTCCTCATGAGACACGATGCGACGGTTACCGGCTTTCCTACTTTTCCTGAGTTTGCTCCGTCTTTACTCCTTGTTTTATCTTCCTACTCGGATTTGTATATTAAATCTATCTGATTTTTATTCTTTAGTGTATCTAATTTTGCGTACCTTTTATAGGACTGAGCTATGGAGAGGATTTGGTGTCTATGTAACCAGTGGGTTTGGTATGTCTCACGTCGCCGTCTTGTCAAGGCTTTAGCTATGTAAATGATGGATTTCTTTCTTGTTTGTTGGCATGCAAATAAGATTCATTCAATGAGCCATAATATTTCATGGGCTAGTTATCTGCATCTGTAATTCGAAGGTTGGATTCTACTACTGATTCGACTGAGCACGGCGAAAACATACACCGGACCCAGGCCTTGATATGTACATCCAAGTCAAATACATAACCAGAATTTCCACCAAATCATCATAAAAGAAAAAGCCTCGATACCACTCGCATGCACATATGGTTAGATAGCAAAGCAACTAGCATTGAGGGCGCATTACATTCTGTTCGTCTCCTCCATAGTCATTGCAATCTGCTGCTCTGCACGATATAAAGGTAGCCGAAGCATAAGAAATGCGCAAGGCAAATGTTAGGAAGATTAAGAGGAAATATTGATGCAAAGAAAAGTAAATCAATTGATTGATGGAAAGTATTCAGTATCCCACATCGAAGATATAGAGCGGATTCCTACAGTTTACAGCCTATATACTCCAAGTTGGAGCAAGATATGTACCTCGCCATCAAACCCACTTCGTCCTTGCCCGAAAGCATCAGAGTGAGTCTGCAGGCAAGACAGAAGCTACCAGCTTCCCAGTAGCGTCGTATTTTGTCTACGCCAAGTGTTTACCTCTTCAACCATGGGGTCCGTCCTAAAAGGCGCGGGATTGACGAGGAGATATATCAGGCGATCTAGTTTCCAATAGGAAGGAACTGGAGTTGGAAGCGAGGGACGATGTCGCTACAAAACCGACCAAGGGAATAAAGAAATGCTAGAACGGACCAGCTGCAAACTGGACACGGAACAAAATGGCCGGAAGATTGAGCTGTAGCATTCGAGGGACGTTCCTATCTGCGCGGGAGACGTAAGGAAAAAGAACGCCGGCTGCGCAAAGTGAATTGCCTTGCGAGCACCGACTCCGGATAGAAGAAAAAGGAAATTTTGTTCATTTTTCATTCATCGCAATGCACCTGGTTTCAGAAACTTTGCCCTGATCATAGCAGGTTGGAAACTCCGTTTCTCAAGAGTCCTTCAAATGAACCCGCGCCGTCAACCGCCATTGCAACATGAACCTGTACCCCACACGTAAGAAATCCCTTAAGCCGACTTGCTCTTGACAGCCTCACGACCCTTCGCCATGCGCTCAATGATCTGCTCACGGTCCTTGTCGAGGTGCAGCTTGGTGATGACGACCTTGGAGGGGTGGAGAGGAATGGGAACGCTCTGGCCGTTGCTCTTGTCGCGAACGATCTAAACCCGCAGTAAGCATCCACCGCAATAACCGTGATGTGAATTCGAATCGTACCTTCTCGACGTAGATGGAGAATTTGAGACGGTAGACGTTGGTGATCTTTCCCTCACGTCCCTTCTGCGAACCTCTGGCAACAACTGCATATAATAGTCAGTTTCATGATCTCGAGATTATTCTCAGATTGCATCAAGAATAAAACTCACCGACTTCGTCGTCCTTGCGGATGGGAATGGAGCGGATCTGCCACAGAACGCTGGTTAGAATCGTCCTTTATTGTGTGATGCTGGCAGCTGTATCGTCCTAGTTTCCAATCCCGAAAACTCGACTCGAACAGACCCAGATTCGATTTAGAGGTTCAAGTGGTACATACTCCGTACTTCTCCTTGAGTTCCTTGGAGACGGGGGCGCTGAGGATGACACGGCGCACGCTGGAGGGGGCCTGGAAGTGTGCCTTGCGAGACTTGCTCCGCGAAGAGGCGATACCTGGAGGAGACACCATCAGTATTGAAAGTTGAAGATTGGCGAAAATTCGTATCGATAGGGGTTTCGGGCAGCTGTAAAGCAAATCGGCGCAAGGCGAGATGCGAGAGAGTACGCACCGTGGGTTCGGACAGCCATCTTAAAGGTCGTGAGTGGGAAGTGAACGGGTGTCGTTGGCGTTGGTCGAAGAGAGGATCTTTTCTTGTGTAGCCGAATATTCCAAGTTGGATCCGGATTGTGTGCTTACTAATTTCCCGCTAAGCCATCTCAGGGCTTGCAACTAGACACCTGATAACCGAGGCAGACACCCCTCGCGATATTATTGGTTGAAGACGGGATCCACCTCCGACGCGCTTCCCAATGCGCCTCGACAACATCTGCGCCAGGCCAGCTCTTCGGCCGCCCTTCCTTCAAGAATGCAAGGACTTTCTTCCTAATTTTTCGATTTTTGGTCTCAATTTGCGTCTAATGGCGTTTTCGAGTTTGTTTGTCATACCCGGCTCTTCCCTATTCGGCCGCGATTCCCTCCATGTACAACGGATTACGAGCCTTTTCTTCGCTCGGTCCCACAACATCCCCAGCCATGAGATTCTAGCGGTTAGACGGCCTCAGCAGACTTTGAAATGTCTAATGGAGGCATAGACGGATTCGATTGGCTCCAGAGCTTTCTTCCCGCCGATAGCCAACCCGACCACGACCCCACTATCAACAATGAGGGTTATCAAACACATCGGGCATTTCACGATGCGGAGGAGTTGGCTAAGGCAGCCCTTATGCACCAGCAGGCACAGAGATCATATTCATTTATGAGATCGACCAGTGCTGGGACGAATCATGCCTTGGAATCCCCTCCGGCGTACTCGCATACCTCGGATGCACATTATGGAGGAAACAAAAACCAGCAAAACAGCAATATTCAATTCAACAATCCTCCTTCTAGCCACGCTACATACCCAACAGACCGCTCTCACTATACGACTCAACGACCAAATCCCCCCGGTCCGCCCCAACAGCAACACTTGGCTACTCAGGCACATCAGGATGCATATCGCCACGGTCAAACTCGCATGGGGCCCGCTGGTCCCCCACAGAGGCCTTCCGGCTCTATACCAAACTTCTCAGAGGCCTATCAAGGCACCTACAGGGTTCATGAAACTACAAGACCCACAGTCCCTGCGCAGAGAATGAACCCACCCATGACACAGGCTGTGCCCCCATATCAAAGCCCGCACCAAGGCTACTCGTCAGACCCCAAGCAGAATTCCCAGATGTTGACCCAAATGCATATTGCACAAAGGATGACGACACAAGTTCAAATAACACACGCGAAAAGTCCTTCTTACAGCAACTCTACAATTCCACCACACAATGCCCAGCGATCACCTCATTCCACTGCTCCGCAAGCAACCAGGCCGACGCGCCCAGTTCAAAGGACACATTCACCGGCGGCAAGGCCCCAAGTATCTCAGAGACCATGCCAAAGCTACTCCACGACCCTAGCTCAAAATACCCAGCAATTATCTGTGTCAACTGCAGCGCGAAGGCCGGGGCCCCCAGGTCCGGGGCCCGCAGTTCGAACGGCAAATACATCGCTGGCCTTGAGACCTTGCCAAAGTCATTCCACGACCCCAACCCAGAATGCCCAAAGACTATCTCACCCGAATGCGCCGCCAAGCCCCCATTCCTCGATAGACACCGGTCCTCTGATGTCGCCGAAGGGATTCAAAATTTTTGCAGCACGCACCACACTTGAAACCCGCCAGTCGCTCACACCAGCCAGAAGCAATTGTGAGGCCTCCAATCCAACAAAACAGAATCCGGCTACCAATTCCGCCAGTTCAAACCCAATATCGCCTGAGCCTCCATTCTACAACCAAGATCGTATGCAGCCAATCGTGTCAACTGCGCCTGATAGGGTCCATAGCCCTGCAATACCCCAGTCTGTCTCAACCCGCAGTCCTTCTGTCTCTATTATCTCTCCTGCTCCTGCCTCTGCCTCTGCCCCTCCGGCGCCGCCTGCACAAACAACTACTGTCCCACCTCAGTTGGACAAGGGCTGGAGTCAGGAGAAACACGGCAGTCAGGGCAAAGCAGCAGCTACTTCATCATACCAGTCACTATATCAGACAAGCCAGCAGCCTCCGAAATCCCAACCAAATGAGCAGAGCACACCAGCGGGATCCTCAGCCTTTGCGTCATCCACACCCTCTGCGGCCTCTCACTCGGGACCCTCTTATACCTCCTTGCGTACCTCAGGACCTCGTGTGGGTACCTTCTCCGACTCGGCCGTGGGACAACAGCCTGCTGGACGCAATCATCAATCGCAGAATTATCCGCTGCCGGGACCACTGCACCATCAGAAAAAGCGGTGGGTTCCCGCCGAAGAGCATTCTAGTGATTCTATACCATTCTCAAAAACACGACTATTGGATAATGGTAAAGGTCAGATAATGACTCTCCGAAATGACCCATTTGCAGGTAGCTCGGTACCAGGGGCCCAAGTTCCTATGGAACATGCTCGGCCTCGAGGCCCTGGTAAAATTCTTAAAAACCGTGACGACCTTGTCCAGCAGATAAGACCGAGCGATGCGCTGCCCAAGAAATCTTATGACCCCACCACGGTCGCGCGGGATGTACTGATTGCTGCGGGAAGACACCCGACGGAAAAGCATTTAAACCATCATCTTGAAGCACTACGCCGTAATTTTACCAAAATTGATTACTGTGCCGACCTGGAAACGTTTCGTTGGGACCTGGTGGACGTCAAGCAGCCTGAACCTCAAGTCGATCGCATGCCTCCGGTTTCTGCACCCCAAATAGCTCGACCACTTCATCCTCAACGGCAATTACTTCCACGTGACCCCGCTTCTATATCGAGACACGTGATTGCACGTGACCACGCTCCCGCGCCGTCGCGTGACACACCGCCAAATCGCCAAGTTGCAATGCGAGAAAGGATCGACGCGCGCGCCCCGCCTGGTGGTTTTAGCCCTTGGGGTACTTTGCCTTTCAAATCTCCGACTTATCATTCTCCCAAACACATTTTTTCTTCAAACTTGCCTTCTGGACTTCCCAGGGTCGATCCTGTGCCTGCATCGCCGAAATTCTCATCCAACAAATCCGTCCCCTTCCCAGTCCCCCCACCGCGGCGACCACACCCGCAACCCCAACCGCGACAACACTCGACGACGGACACTACAGCTCCACCAGAACCCTCGCCTGAAACAAAAGAAGTGACCCCTAAATCCACAACAAAACCTAAACCTCAGGGGCAGACGGTCAAGAGCCAGTCTGACTCTGGTCGGACCGTCAAATCCCCAGAGGCAAGACGTCTTCCCCAGCCACAAGTTGTTATTCCACTGTCACCCGCCAGGATGCCCACAAAGAGAAGACCAGGGCGACCTGCGAAGAGTGCAGCGAACAACATTGAAGTTGCCATTCACCGTGAGCCGCCTGTTCATTATCAAATCTTCCCATGCAAATGGGAGGGATGCGCTGCAGAACTTCATAACATTGACTCGGTCCGAGCACACGTTATCAAAGTTCATATCCCGCACTCTCTCGTTTGTAAATGGAAAGACTGCAGTAATAAGACGCCAATGGCAGCGGCAGATATGTTTCAGCATTTGGCGACCGAGCACATTTCGAAAATGGCTTGGGAGCTTGGGGATGGACCAACGGTGCTAGTAACTGGTGAGAATCATAACTAGCTTGCGCTTGACGCTCCTCCAAGAACTGATCCGCACGAAGTGTTGTTTTTGATCTGAAGAATATGTCTAATCGGATGAATGTTCTAGCGGAAAACAAATCGAATCACCCTTCCGTTCTGGGTAACCGAAGTGCCCGCAAGGGGACCATGGTCTTGCCTGTCGATGAGCATCAGGTCAAGGCCTTTAGCAAGGCCCATGGAAAGTCGACGGAGAAGACAAAGGCCCAAGCCCTGCTCGAGGCTGGTCGACACTGGAAGCAGCAGATTGGACCTGAGATGGACTGGAGTGACCGTCGTCTGTCGACGCCAGCTCGGCAGAGCAGGGTACACACTGGGGAAATGGCATTTGTTGGGGAGAATTGATGCATCGGATCGAATCGACTTTCGTGGTACCTTCATTTTCCTTTTCCCCCCCTTCTTAGGGATTCGGTCCATTGCATGGCGAGCGGCTTACATGGCGACTAGCTTGGTTGGGAACTGCCCCAGGTGGCAGTGGAAGCATACGGTAGTCTGCCATCTTGGCATGGCAGGCATGGCTCACAATATTTTGCACCTGGATGCCGCCTTACGAGGTTCTACTATGAGATCGAGATCTATACGGCGAATTGCCCAAGAACCCACACTATTTCAAGTTACTCAAAGAGCATTGATGAATAAAGCCATGAGATTGGTAATCACTGCCTTTCTCTCCAACTGATTGGACTGTAGTGTACAATTGGCTTGTGTTTGACCCGCTGGTAAAAGTAAAATCAAATGATGTAGGCACTGGTATCTTGGTTCACCGTTGGATTCTTGTATTCATTCTCTCCCACGAGCCGCAGATCGGATTTAATTCCCCTTCCTTGAAGCCGACACCTTGTCTGTGGATACGACTGGCACAGTACCCTCAGCCTTAATCTGGCTTGCTGATTCGGCAGCCTCTGCTTCCTCCTCGCTGGAATTGACATCGAGGAAGTGGTATAGGACAATCATCATCATGGCGCAGGAGCCAAGGAAGATGGCGAGGCGGTAGAGGTCGTCGTCGGAGATCATTGTGAAATGAGGACCACGGAGGAGCAATGCGAATGGTCACAGACGAAATCAAGAGAAAAAACGACAGTTGAGAGATAAAGCGCTTAAGGGATGGGCGATATAATCGGAGAAGACACGTCGGCCAGTAGTCCGAGTGACACTACGCAGTGTAGTTGTGTAATTGCCGGTGTCTGAGAAGCGGGAATCTGTGGTTTCTCTCCTCAATGAATTGAGAGTTTTGAAAGGAAGAGAGAGGAACCTTGGAAGAGAGTTGAGAAGAGGAAGAGGTGATGTTGATAAGGTCCACGCTGGAGGTGAGAGAGCTAATCGGGTAATGTCAGTACGGAGTACACGTTACCGTGTAAAGTATTTCGTACGTAGTCAACGGCTTGCATCGTGACCTTGTACATACTTTGGTACTTTTGTCCTCTTCTTACCTTCTTCTGTGCTCACCGAGGAATACATATATCCTTGTTGACCACTCTAGGTACTCTTCCCCAAGAAAGAGAGACGCGCCCCTGGTTCAACAAGTGCTCCCCTTAAGTGCGTATTGCGGATTACCATCCCCCCGGGCCGGAACACTGGAATATTGGAACATCTTCAATCCTTCCCCCTCTTCTCTTCCCCTCTATTCGTCGTCCTGCTCGGTCAATTATACTTTATCGCTTTAGCCATTTCCTATATGCGTCTTTCTTCACTATGACCGAATTACAGGCTACTTCTGGGTCCAAACCGGGTCCTGCATTACTGGCCTGTCTTCAGTGCCGTCACAAACACCTCAAATGCGATAGCAGGACTCCCGTCTGCAGCCGCTGTGAACAGGCTGGATCCGCTTGCGAATATACGAAGTCTCGGAGAGGTTACAAGGGCCCCTCGAAAAAGCGCCGCGCTAACTCGCCGGATTACTTGCCCATGGATCCCAACCCGGTAGGCATGCTCGATATCCCCGTGGATTGGACCTTGCAGGCTGGCTTCACTTATGCGCCAACGATACCGTTACCCTCCTCTGCATCGACTAGTCCTGGCCTGCATGGCCTTTCGACGCCAATTGTTCAGAACACTCGCCCAATCAGCGGACCATTGACTCCGGATTCTTCCTCTGCTGCCGGCGGGGATGGCTACCTTCTCGATATCTACTATAACTATTTCCACGCCGCCCATCCAATCCTGCCACCCCACCAGCTCCTATATCGCAGCGCTTTTCCCGCGTACCTGGAACAGGTGATGAAGTTCATCGGTGCCCACTTCACCCCGGCCGCCTCGAGTGCCACCTACCGGCCCACGGTTGTCGCAGTGGTGCAAGAACAAAATTTGTCAGTGGAAAAGGTGCAGGCCCTGCTTCTGCTGGCGATTGTACTTCACTCAGACAATGAGCGCGGCGAGGCCGGCGTTTGTCTAGCCGCTGCAGTAGATTCAGCCTTCGAGCTTGGTATGCATCAAGGGACGTTCGCGATCCTTGTAGGCAATGGGGATCCAATCCGCGAAGAGTCTCTGCGCCGCACCTGGTGGGAGCTCTTCATAATCGAGGGTCTCATGACTGCCCTCGGTGTGCAGCGCGAGTACCGAACCAACCAAGTACCGCTCGACGTCCCACTTCCATGCGAGGAGCGGATTTATTATGACGCCCTACCACCGCCACCATCCCCGACCATTGCGCAATTTGACGAGCGCGTGTTCGCGGACGAAGAGCGTGACTTCTCCTCATACTGTTATCGTATTGAATCCGTACGGATTCTTGGTCGTGTGGTGGCGATGCAGGATATGACCGAAGGCCAGCAGGACCATGTGGAAGCTCTTGATGCGCGCATTGGTAGTTGGGGCCATCACTTGCCAGAGTCCAAGGAAGAGCTCTTGCGACCCGACGGGAGCGTGGATGAAATTATGTTCCAAGCGACCATGATCTTAAACGGCGCGGCCATCTATCTCAACTTCCCGCGGTCTGATCTTCTCTCATCCCCCGCCGTTGCCGCGGAAGTCATCTGTGGCCACCATGGCCCCATCAGTGTACCTGCATTCTCCCACAACGAGCATGCCATGAAGGCCGCCAAGGCCGCCCGAGAGCTGTCCCGCCTCGCTGCCTTCCGTCTGCCCGTTATCAAGCACACCCCATTTTTCATCTGTGCGCTCACTCTGAGCTCCATTGTCCAACTGGCCACCTGCTCTGTCAAAGCCGGTCAAATGCCAGACCCCAGCCGCGATCGTCTGGCGTTGACGATTGGTGTCTTCAAGTCATTGGCTCGCACCTGGGCCATTTCCCAGTCAATAATGCGGCAGATCAAAGCCGTTGCACGGGATGTGATGGATCTGGGACTGCGTCCGACGATGGACTCGCTGGATCTGACCACTGTGTTGGATAACAGTCAGTTCTGGGTGGATCAGGGCCCGAGCTGAGGAAAGAAGATATGACTGCCTCTCACGACCTTTCCAACTCAACGTTTCACATCGTCTCTAATATTCGCGACTTCTCGACAATCGTTGAACCAAGTCGAGATGATCCCAGGCCAGCGTGCTCACCCGACCTCTGATCGACGGGCTGGCGTGTGCACCGCCCCCACCAACCCCCCTTGCAGGGCTCTGGTCCCCTTTGGGGCTGGGCAGACCCAAGTCCAGAGTATAATAGTATAAATCTGTGTCCGATCCTGCCCGATTCTTTGACCGGGGTACCCGGAGGGAAAATGCGTTTCCACCGGTACCTGGCTTTGTATATATCAAACAGACCATTTGATTTACCTTTATAAACTTGTTCTAGACTGAGGCTATAGGGCTTCTCCGATAGTCTTTTTATATGTCTTTTTAGTGTTCTCTTTGGTAGTCTCATCAGGTGGTCTTTTAGATGCCTGGTTATATAGATATTTCCTGCCCTTTCTTGGTGGCAACCGGACTTTGAATTCGGCCATCTCGCTAGCTGGTATGCCACCGACTCGTGTACAGCTCGATGGGATGGACACGCTGCGTGATGGATTGATCTATGAGAAGCTCCTGTGTGCCCAGGGCGTCGCTACTCGCCTAGATGCTTATCCCGGTATGCCGCATGCTCATTGGATGCGTTGGCCGGAGCACTCATTGTCCATCAAGTCGAATATCGATACATTATCTGGTATTGGGTGGTTGATTGGGCAGGAGATTGAGAGAGAGATGAGGCAAGCGCCTCTGGAAGACGGCGCCTTAGATGGGGGGCCCTAGGTTTTGGACTGGAATTGTTGGGACTATATACTATTTGGAATAACGTAGTTTGATTGAAGCAAATAAGCAAAGACAGCTCTCAGACAGAGTCTATAGGAAATACGGTTGCTTCTTGCTTCTTTACAACAAATAGGCTTAAAACCACCTGTAGATGAACGATAGCATTACTCATTGAAAGAAATATGCAACGGAACATATAGGAAACATCAACAGAAATCACACTTCCTGTCCATGAATTACTCCAAGGCGAAGCAGGACTATTTGTACTCGCGGAGATACTTCAATCGCTTAACAGCAAGAGAAAAGTCCTCATCGGTAGTGACGGTAGTTGTGCGTCTGCCACCAGGGATGGCAGCCATCATTTCCTTAGCTTGCTTCAACTCCGAATTCAAAACTTCCTTGAGATTGAAGTGCTCATGTTCAATCGTACGCGCATGCAGAGTACCTAGATTAGACACTTGATTAGCAACAGTTACAAGGTAGAGCGCATAGCCTTACGATCGACTTTGGCAAGGTGCTTATTGGCCTCGACGATTGCACCCCAGAGAGCACAGACTTCTGCCACTTTCCCAAAGGTATCATTGCGGACCCAGCCTAGAAGACCGTTGAGGAGGTCGGCCTCTGATTATTTGTTAGTTCTGATGAACTAGAAGAAATAGAGAGGCATGACTACCTTTGGACCCCCTAGATAGCCGGTAGAGGGTGGGGATTTCGGCTGCCATGCGTTCGTAATTCATTTTGCGAGATGGTCAAAGAGACTATAGAAGGGGGTTATCAAAGGAGAAAGGAAATGGGCAAGAGAATAGAAAGCGTGTTATATAGACCAAAAGAGCAGGGAAATGCTGGGACCCACGTTTTCTTTTCAAATTCAGATAGAGTCATTTTGAATTATCTGGTCCAGCCTGCTCAGAGAAAGCAGGCCTTGGAATTTGAACAAAGCAAGTGGAAGTATACAAGATCTATTTTGAGAACAAAGAATTTGGAGAACGTCTCACATCCCAATTTCGACTTTCAATCAAATTATTTGACTTTCCAGAGGGAAATATGTGAAGACAAAAAAAATTCCTGTCAGAATGGCTGGTTGAGATAGACCGGGGAAGAACAAAGAGAACGCCGTGAAAAAAAAAAGAGAAAAGGAAAAGCGAAGGAATTCCCTCTTCTTCAACACCCGTTCGATATCTCCTGAATCGTCCTTCCTAGTACTTTTACTTGAAATGGCCGCTGGAAATAATCTTCCGCCGGATTTCGTGAATCGTATGGAAAAGGTTCCAGCGCCATATCTGAGCGAACAATATGGCTACAGCAAAGACGGTAGGCTAAGCATAATCAGGGATTTACTTAAAGACAAGAAGTTGACAGATATCGACAGGACTATCTTGCGCAATGATTGCCTGGATGCTGGACATTAATCTTAGAGCAACAATCAAGAAGCGCGAGTTCCAACGCACATATCAGAGAATGTGCCTTTACATCAAGCATATGGAGCGTACGTTTATTAGAATCTCGTGAAGCCAGAGAATCAAGACTGATATCAGTACATAGGTCTCCTGGACCAAGCCAACATCAAATATGATGCTTACACCGGCGCGGAAGATGGTCGAAGAGTAAAAATAGCCAGAGAGACCTTCAAGCCTCAAGTGAAGGCCAGGTTCATCCCTACAGCTCCGTATCCTATCACAGCTCCTATCAGCTCCGATGGTGAGCTCTGCAGAAGCGTCTCCGATGCGCAGACATTTGAATACAAGCTTCACCAGTTGGAGATCCTTCGGTATATGGAGAGGGTTGATGGACCGGCATTGGCTGATTTCGAGACGAGTGCGAGGAGGCCCAGACCTGAGACAGGTTAACTGAATCGCCATGTCTGAACAGACCTTTGATCGTCTTTGGTTTGAATAGTTGAGGTGATTTGGTCAATGCTTCCTTCGCGTTGCTTTTTTGTGGAGATATGGGTTTGTCTTTGACATGATAGTAATGCCGGCCGTTCTGCTTTTGAAATTTTTCAAGGTTATTTTATTCGTGAAATGAAAGAAAGATTTTGATTTCATTCAAACAAGTCTAATAGTGCTGCCTCCCAAGTGTAAAGTCCAGGGGTATCTCAAATGCTGGGTTGGTTGTGTATGAGACGGGCAACAAGAACATCGCGGGCTACGTCAACAAGTGCTTGTGCAAACCAAAGGAATAATGAGGGAAATAGCGCCAGGTAATGAAAAACAAAAGAGAACAAAGCCAAAACTCCTTGCCATATGCTCAGGTCGTATCGGCATTGCGTGAAAATTCTAGGGGGAAATGAATGCAAGGACATGACGAGAAATTCAATATCAGGCAAGGATTTAAGTGCCTGCACCGCCGCTCAATTCGCGCATTTCTTGTAGGGCAACAGCACGACGTGCAACGACATCTTCGCGGCGAACCACGTTGCGCAGTGCTTCACTGGCTTGAATCAGGCCGTCAATGCTGATCGCGTGGTTGGTCATTTGGTGGTTGATGTATGTATAGAGTGCCGCCGGCGTCGAGCAGGTCATCAACAATTGCTGCTCGTTGAGCTTGAGCAGTGCAAGAGCGACTTGGAATAGGAATGTGCTTCCGCCTCCGCTGCCAGAGGCGAGACTTTCGGCAGCCTTGGCGCTCTTATCATTGCTTTCCTTGGTACCAGAAGCATTTGACCCGGAGCCGTTGACTGCGCTGGTCACATTGAGACATAGAACCACGTCCCATACACGATACAGTGCCTCCGCGGAGAGACAGTCTGTAAAGACAGAGAGGAACCATTGGAAAGTGAGTGCCTCTAGTTCAATGCCCAGTTCCTCTAAGTGGGCAGAGAGTTTGGGAAGCAGCTCTGAGATGTACTGGCGCAAGACTACCTGATCGGCGCGGGAGGCGAGCAAGCCATGGTCGTAGTAGTGCTGGGGCAAAATAATCTCGATCATAGAGGTCAGAATCCAAAACGCGTCCTCGGCAGTCGGCATGATGAGAAGCAAAGACGCTGCGATGAGGTTCATGCCCTGACAGTAGCCTACTTCTGGGTTACGGCGCGAGTATGCAAGCAGAACCTCTTTCAGCTTGCTGACGCCAGGCCCTTTGCGGAAGAAGACATTATCGGTAAGAGTGCGGCGTATATCCATGTCGATTTGTGCGACGACGGAAGGGTCGGGGTCCGATCCACCACCGCCATGCACAAGATCATCATAGTAGCCAGGAATTCGCATGGCCGAAGCCCCACTGCATTCCGACCAAGTTTTGGCGCGAAGAGCAACTGGGATGCCGCCGAGTACGAGCAGGCGGAATTCTCGCCACTTCGCTCGGCCAACCTTGCCCTTGTTACCCAGACCTGCGATGCCTACAACTTCGCCGTCGGCGAGCGAGACTTCTGGCGTGTCAACGGCAGCAAGAGAACGATCAGAAGTTGCGGCAGCAGCTGCCGCTTCGCCCTCCTTTCGGCGTTCAGCACGTACTTTGCGAAGGAACTCGTTCCATCTCACAGTTCGATCGCGTTGCAAGGTATCGTGGAGATCAGTCAACTGTTCCAATAATAGTTTTACGGGCTCCATCTCTGCGACACTGAATCTGGAGGCTGTGTCTTTGAGCTGATCCGTGGACAAGCCAGCGAATTCGGGGCTGTCGGCTGTAATAGCCGATGTAGACGCCGATGGTTGTGAACTGGAGCCGACGGCCAACGCTCCGTCTTTGTCATATGAAACAGACGAGCTATGAGCGCGATTCTCTCCTGCAGTAGTCAAAGAGACAACCGGGCCAGCGGATGGCGTGTGGGACAATAGCTCTGTGGGACGGGACGGGATCCTCAGATAGTCCTGCCAGCGACGGATGGCAACAGCCCCGCTGTCAGGGTCGTCTGGCGAGTCAGGCAGAGAAGGCGAGACCTCGGAAGGCCCCTGCCGAAGTTTTGTGATTTCGGGGTCATCCTCATGCTCTGACGCATCAGTTCGAAGAGAACCGAGAGTTTCGGTTATACTCAAACGGTGATTGCTGGTCTTGGTAGTATTGGCTTCTCTCTGGCGCTTCTTTCTATGTTGATCATAAATGAAACCGAACCGGTCGGTGAGAAACTCACCCGGTTGGGAATTGTTATAAATAGGCGTGAGCGTCGGAGGCTTCGATTCCATGGGCAAAATCGCGTCCATCTCGACGGGTCCAAGATTTGTGGAGCCTCTATCCGTAGTCTCCGACGCCGGCCCCTGGGATACACTGCCAGTTGCGGTCCGCCGCGAGGCAGGAGGGTTCATTTTGCCCTGAACGCTCGATCCACTGGCAGATCGTCCAGTAGCAGAGGTACCGACATTACTGTTGATCTTCTTCAGTGCGGCCACTGCCGACATTGAAGCCTTAGAATTGCCAGACAGTGTAGACGAAGCACTTTTGTCTCCGTCCGGCCTTTTGTGCTGGGGTTTATTGTGGATAGACTCAGCATCACTTGCATCTCTGCTCGACTGAGGATTGCCAGCAAATAACTTAACAGTCCAAGAGCCGAGAGATCGTGATGATTTGCGAGAATGAACGCTTGCATCGTCGCCATTTGCAGACGTGCTAGCAATGCGCTTCGCCGGTCCGTTTCGTGCCGGGCCATCTGGGGGCTGAAATAGCTGCTCATCAAGCGCTTTGCGTCGCATTGCGGGATTGCTGGGCACTCGGGGACGCTCAGCCTCTTCTTCTCCAAGTTCACCAACATCACTCATAATGCTACTGGCCCGGCTAGTCTTCCGGCTTGTATTGGCCGACCCAAAGATGTACTCCTGCCAGCCCCGAATCGAGCTTTGACGCTTCCGGTTCTCAGTGGTTCCGCTGCCTCGGGGATCATTGTCTAACCGCTGGGCACGAATCGTGGCCTGGGTTTCTGCAGAGTCATCATGAGGCCGAGAGCCAACGGTGTCTTCCATTGCTTGAGACATCAACCCATTCAGGCCGGAATAGGTTTGACCAGCATGATCGCTACTATGTGTGCTTTCTGCATCCGAGACACGATCGCCCGGCGGGTTCTCCAACTGATATAGACGGCGTTCAATGTCCTGGTTTGACACAGACACTTCTCGTAACATTCTCTTGAGCTCTCGCTCCCTTGCATCGGCGCGTTGGCGGAGGGCCGAAATCTCAGCATCCCGTTGAGCCAGATCGCGAGCGAACTGCCTCACCATCTTCACGGCTCCTGTTCCAGCAACCAGCCGCTCAATGTGCGCATCATCAGCCAAATGCAGGGCGCCTGGGATATCATGCGTCGGGACGGAATCGGCGAAGAGGGCAGCTCGGCCTGATTTGTGCGAGGGCCCAGTCGTCAATTTTGCTAGCGTAGCCTTCCGCCCACGGCCAGTCCCACCTCCATTTGATTCCTCTCCACCTCCGCCGGAGAACAACGTGTTCGTCAGGCCACGGGCAAGGGTTGGAGATTTGTCTGGCGGTGAAAGCGAGGGGAACGAGGTCAAATCGGTTGTTGTGTTGGAGGAGCCTGAATGGCGTTTTTGAATTTTGGCGCGAACAACTTTAGCATTTCGACTTCTGCTCGAGGCGCTTGACGCTTGGGATGAAGAACGCCGCTGGGAGTGGATGTCGGAATCTGCCATGACTCAACAACCGGGCAATGGCATGAACAGTGGAATCGTTGATTAATGGCTTCATGAAGGCTTTCCTTGGAGCTTTCGGAGCTGCGTAAATTGGAAACGATGCCCGAGCTAATGAGACAAATAATCAACTAGCTTACGTAGCTTCCGATACTTGGCTCGTCTTGTCGCGCGTGGTTGGCGGTCCTTGCTGTAATGACCAGTGGATGGAATGAAGGGAGATCGACCGTGATTTTCAGGGGCGGGTACGGATTTAATCCTAGATACCCTATTTTAAGACCAACAAAAGCATGAGGAAACAAAGAGCACAGATTTGTCTTGTTCTGAAACCCACAAACACGGCTTTGATACCCTACGGCACATGACGTGACCCGATAAGCATCATGTGACTCATGCTTATGCATTCTAGCACGTGACTTACATGCCATGCTGGCCCCTGTGCCCTAACGTAGTCCTGGAGCCTCGGCTCTCCGCATAACCGACATAGTGGAGAAAGCTGATGAGCTGTTATAACTAGGAAGCCGCCGCAATCGAAGCGGTTCTTCTAGGGCCCTCAATTGTTTTTCCTATTGACAGCCTTTTAAAAAACCACTCAGCTCTTAACAATTATGTCTGCTGCAGCAAAAGAACGTCTTCAGGCCCTGAGCAAGCAGCTCGTTGAGGGCATTCCCTCCGAGGGCACGTTTGAGGATATCCCCAAGATCCGTCATGTTGCCCCTGATTCGGCAGGACCGTAAGTAGCCTTAATCTTATAGCTGTATTCTGGTCTGGCCAGCTTCTAGCCTTGCATACATTGCAAGCTTAGGTGCATAACTAAACTAACAGTTGAATCTATAGCCGGGTCAAGGACAAGGTAGTAATCGTGACCGGTAAGTACTATTCCCTGACGCCAATCCAAAAAGCATGATGCCAATTAATATGTAGGCGCAAACTCTCCCAGTGGCATTGGCCGCGCCAGCGCCCACCAATTCGCCAACAATGGCGCCAAAGCAGTCTACATCTGCGATTTCAGCGACACCCACCTGGCAACGCACAAGCGGGAGATGGAGTCCCTCTACCCAAATGTAGACGTTCACGTGCGGACATTTGACGCAGCCGACGAAAAATCCCTGATTGGAGTCATCGACGAAGCAGTCAACAAATACGGCCGACTAGACGTCTTCTTCGCAAACGCGGGAGTCGTAGGCCAACCGAAGCTGTTCACCGAGATCGACGGCGACGGATTCGTAAACACGATGCGAGTAAATGCTCTCGGGTACGTACATCCTCCCCTGAAACAA